AAGGAGCTGGAAGATTTCGTGGAGAGCACCTGTCAGGAGCTGACGCATCAACAAAGTGCAAAAATAAAGGACTTTATTACCAGATGGCAAGATGTCTTTGAGTACGGAAGTGGCCCTAGAGGAAGAACGAATATAGTACAACACAAAATAGACACTGGAGATGCAAAACCCATACGTCAGGCCCCTAGACGACTCCCACTGGCCAAACGTGACGAAGCCGAGAAAATCATAAAGGAGATGGAAGCGGATGGTGTCATCGAGCCTTCTAGCAGCCCTTGGGTGTCACCTGTGGTACTAGTGAAGAAGAAGGACGGCTCAACAAGATTTTGCGTAGACTACCGCCTACTCAACAATGTCACCAAGAAAGACAGTTACCCTCTCCCCAGGATTGATGACACACTCGACACTCTGGGAGGATGTCAAATATTCTCTACTTTAGATCTTAGAAGTGGCTACTTGCAGGTCGGGCTTGCTTCTGAAGACAAGGAGAAGACGGCGTTCTCTATTGGGACAGGACTTTGGCAATTCACCGTGCTGCCTTTTGGACTTTGTAATGCCCCTGCTACTTTTGAAAGGCTTATGGAGAACGTCCTCAGGGGATTGTCATGGGAGACATGCCTGGTTTACTTGGATGACATTATCGTCCTAGGCAAATCCTTCGACGACCACCTGAAGAACCTGGAGAATGTCTTCATGCGACTGCGGATGGCTAATCTGAAGTTGAACCCCAAGAAGTGCAACTTGTTCCGCAAACAGGTCAATTACCTCGGCCATGTCGTATCAGACAAAGGAGTGTCTGTGGATCCGGAGAAGATCAGAGCTATCACCGATTGGCCAATACCTCAGGATAAGCACCAGGTTAGAAGCTTCCTTGGGCTGTGCGCTTACTACAGGAAATTTGTTAAGGGATTTGCTAATATTGCAAAACCACTAACCAAGTTGACCGAAGACAAGAGGACCTTTGTTTGGGATAACGACTGCGAGAAAGCTTTTGAAGAGCTGAAGACCAAATTGTGCAGCGCACCCATATTGAGCTACCCACGATCAGATGGAAAGTTCATACTTGACACGGACGCTAGCAATACAGCCATCGGAGGAGTCCTATCTCAGCTTCAGGATGGAGAAGAACATGTGATCGGATACTTCAGTAAGGTCTTGTCAGTGCCTGAGCGTAATTACTGTGTCACCAGGAGGGAGCTTCTCGCAGTGGTTAAGTCAATAGAACACTTTCATAAGTATCTGTATGGAAGAAGGTTTCTCTTGAGAACGGACCATGCCGCACTGATGTGGTTGCTAAGATTCAAGTCTCCTGAAGGACAGGTTGCGAGATGGTTAGAAAGGTTACAGGAGTACGACTTCGAATCAATACATCGTGCAGGGCCGAGCCACAGGAATGCAGATGCACTATCAAGAAGACCGTGTGGAGACACCTGCATGCACTGCACACGCAAGGAAGACAAGAGTGCATCGGTTCATCGCGTGACCGCGTTGACGATGAATGGGACAAGAAGAAGCTGTCAGAGGACCAGAAAGAAGACCCAGACCTAATGCACGTTATGCAGTGGAAGAGTGACAATAAAGGAAGACCATCGTGGCAGGATGTTGCACCATTGTCTAAGAACGTGAAGACCTACTGGGCGCAGTGGAACTCGATTTTAATGGAAGAAGGAGTTTTGAAGCGAGTCGTCGAATCGGAGGAAGGGGGGCACCGAAAACTCCAACTAATAATCCCAAGGAAGAGGGTTCCTGAAGTGTTAATGGAAGTGCACGATGGAATTTCTGGAGGCCATCTAGGGGTACATCGTACACTGGTGAAAGTAAGGGAGCGCTTCTACTGGGCTAATCAAAAAGATGACGTCATAGACTGGTGCAGAAGGTGTGCGACCTGCGCAGCATCAAATGGCCCTGTCAACAAACGAAAAGCCAAAATGAGGAAATACAACGTAGGTGCCCCGTTTGAGCGCATCGCCATTGACATAGCAGGACCGTTCCCCATGTCCGATGCTGGAAATAGATTTATTTTGGTTGCAATGGACTACTTCAGCAAATGGGTAGAGGCCTATGCACTGCCTAACCAGGAAGCGGTAACTGTTGCAGATATATTAATCAAAGAATTGGTGAGCAGATTTGGAGTCCCGCTCGAACTTCATTCTGACCAAGGAAGAAATTTTGAGTCAGCGGTATTTTCTAGAATGTGTGAAGTTCTTGGTATCCGGAAGACTCGAACAACACCTCTTCATCCACAGTCAGATGGCATGGTTGAACGCATGAACAGGACGATGGGAAGATATCTGTCAAAAGTTGTCTCCGAACATCAGCGGGACTGGGACCAATACCTGCACCTGTTCCTACTTGCGTATAGGAGTTCGGTTAACGAAACCACCAGCCAGACTCCAGCCAACGTAGTTTTCGGCCGAGAGCTCCGTCTTCCGTGCGACCTGCAGTATGGTTTGAAACCAGATGAATGTGTCGTTGGTGAGGATTACGTATCCAATCTTCGGAAGAGAATGGACGAGATACACGAGAAAGTCCGTCGCAACATATCTGGAGCAAGCGACAGGATGAAGGAGAGGTACGACGTGAAGGCCGAGAAAGGAGGGTTCACACCTGGAGACCTCGTGTGGCTACACAATCCCAGAAGGCGTCGTGGATATTCGCCAAAACTCCAGAACTCTCCAGGAAGGACCCTACGAAGTTATTTCCCGTTTAAATGACGTCATCTACCGGATTAAGAGGCAACCAAACGGCAAACCCAAGATAGTCCATTTCAACAGGCTTGCACGCTACAAAGGTGATCATGGCCAACGAGAGGAACAACAAGTTCGGAACCTGTCGACCGAGCCAAAATACGCCGTGCCTGAGAGACGTGGGAACGAAGGACCGAGGCTGTTATACAAGGACCTCTTCACCTTGCCAGTGGAATATGCCTTGGCACACTGCGTAGCAGAAGACCTGAGAGCGTCGCGAGGTATAGCCACAGTCTTCAGAAAAAAGTTTGGAGGGACCGAAGATCTTGAGCGTCAGAGCCCCACCATTGGCACGACCCTTCACCTGAAGCGCAACGGACAGCATTTGTTCTACCTCGTAACAAAGGAAACGTCAAACAATAAGCCTTCCTACGAATCGTTGAAGAAAAGCCTGCAAGACCTACGTGACAAGCTCCTTCGGATTGGAATAAAAAAGCTTGCTATTCCCAGGCTGGGATGTGGTTATGACGGATTGGAGTGGAGGATCGTGAGGAATATGGTGCAGGAACTTTTCGAGGACACTGGCATCGACATTGTGGTCTGTGTATACAACCCGTGGGGAACCGGAGACATTATTGGTCCAGAAGATCTCAAGCTTCAAGAGAAATCTGTTCTGGGGCAGAACAGTCTTAAGGAGGGGGTAGTGTTACAAGTCAGGAGCCCCGCACAACAATAGCCAGGCGCCGTCTCAAAAGGGTAGTTTGTCAAAACGGGATTTCTCCGAACGCACCAGTGATAGACAATAGACCTATGTCAACGGACTACGTGAATAGGCCCTCCAGAACCTTCTACAGTTCTACGCCGGTTTGTAAACAACGGATACTCGACCTCTCCACTCTAGAATGTTCTACGGCAAACTTATATAAGGGACCGTCTTACGGCACACGGCAGTTCAGTTGAGTTGAGTCTTCCGAGAATCGTCACAGCAAGTTCCCGTCGGTGTTAGTGACCAGTGCTAGTGCTAGTGGCAGTGACAGTGTAGTGACAGTGAGAGTAACAGTGTAGTGACTCTAGTGACAGTGTAGTGACAGTGTTGTAACAGAAGTGATAAATCCTGTAGAGGCTAGCTGTAAGTAGAAACATTGTAAATTAGAATAGGCTTTAGCTAGGTTTAGATAGGGTTAGTTAGGTGTTAGGTAATTCTAATATCTGTAAATAGAGAGCAATTAGTGTAAATAAAATAGCTATTATAAAATCGCCAAGTTTTTATTGTAAAGAACCCGTTAAGCCCGCAACAATATAAAAAAAAACACTTTCTTATATAAGAATGTTAAAATTATTAATAAGATTGAAACATAGCTGAACGCTGAAGATACACCGTAAGAGTTGGGGGGAGAGCGACGACCAGAGGAAACTCGCGTTAACAAAAAACAGTTTGGGATGTTGTGTTACAAAGTTGGCGGTGTGCCGCGGTTCCGAGGTATTATTTATGTTGTTACCCTCCGAGATACCCGATACATCAATGGCGCCGAGCGGGTACATTCTGGTAAGAGTTGGGGGGAGAGCGACGACCAGAGGAAACTCGCGTTAACAAAAAACTGTTTGGGATGTTGTGTTACAAAGTTGGCGGTGTGCCGCGGTTCCGAGGTATTATTTATGTTGTTACCCTCCGAGATACCCGATACATCAATGGCGCCGAGCGGGTACATTCTGGTAAGAGTTGGGGGGAGAGCGACGACCAGAGGAAATTCGCGTTAACAAAAAACAGTTTGGGATGTTGTGTTACAAAGTTGGCGGTGTGCCGCGGTTCCGAGGTATTATTTATGTTGTTACCCTCCGAGATACCCGATACATCAATGGCGCCGAGCGGGTACATTCTGGTCAGCGCGGGCGGAGAATGTGCACAATGACGTAAAATATCATTTTCTGCTCAGGTCCAACCGCTTCCCCACGCGAACGTTCTGATATCAATGTTGTGTGGAATGCTGAAAATGTAATTATGAGTTGTTTCACAGTTTTCCTCCACCTTGTCATTGCCTAAAATATTTCCATTGCCCATGCATATTGATACGAGCGAATGTTTACAAATATGGTTAACCAACCGTGTTAAATCTTACATTTATAGTTTTCTCTCAATTGCAGTAGGAGGTCAGCAAATATTAATTTTTATTTTCGTCCTAATGCTAAATCAAACTTTTTAGATGTAGTTAAATAACAAATCTATCCACGAGTAATTTGAAACACATTGTGCGCATGTGTATTTAAATACTATTTATTGATGCAAATGTTTACAGACTACTTTTTTGTTCCCAGGTCGGTGCTAAACCCATTCAAAAGGAACCACGATGGAAGGTAAACTATAACATGGTGATGCTATTTTATCACGGCTAAATAAATAATATCGATATTTTGTTGACTACACGCAAAGTTAGTGGTAACTTCGCAACTTATCTACCGTTTTGTGTTGAAATGTAACAAGAAAAGCTTGCTATCTCTTATAGAAGAGACATTTCCAGGAAGACATGTCGATGTTCTGCATCAACGATCAAAAGAAGATTCAAATTTGAATATTCATACGAGCAAAGTTGTTTGATCTAGATTGTTATAAACATGTTTCCATCTTTGACATTTTGAGCTCGGTCCATAGAAGTTCGTACTAAATATGTGTAAATTTGTAGCTTGTATCCAACATAATCTTATTTATATACTTAAACACTACCTATATTGTCTATACTATTGTCTGGTGAAAAAGGCCCCAGAACGTTCATACAAGTTGATAAGTACGTTTATGAAGTCAATATACCGCGTAGGCAAAAATGTGTATCGATGTATCAAAACAAGACTTGCTCAACTCAACAGCAGATTTATTCACGTCGCATATTCAGTTTAAAAATCAATATAATCATCGTTGTAATCGCGTATTGCTAATACTGTATGCCTATCCGGTTTTACTGAGACATCAAATTAGCATCCAGGGACGTATCATAAAACCATCTGGTTGACGACGGAGCGTCGCAAGCTTGACAGGGGGGGGGATGACGAAAGGGGGTAACGACCAAAGGGAGTGTCAATTTCATAAAGTGGCGTTGGCCATAAAGTTTTTACGGCTCTCCGCCGGGATTAATAGTGCTGCAGTGTTGGTATAATCGGTACAAATCTGGCCACCGAGAATGGTGGAGGGGGGGGGGGGGTTGTCTCTACCTCTCTCTCACCCATCTCTCTACCCTGCATCCGACCATCCTCAACTCCAACTCCTCTCAAAGACATGTGAATGTCTGACAGTGTGTTTTGGCTAAACTTAAGTAGACCTCTAAAGTCTTGTGTTTCGAAAGTAGCTAACTTAACACGTTGCTTAGTGCTTCTATTAATCGCTCTACTTTAAAATCCATTACGTAGTTAACACGAACGTATTAACAAATACTAGTATATTGAACATATTTCAAATTCGACTAAACATTTTCCAATTTTTATCACCAAATGAACAAATAGCATATTTACTTATGTTCACGTTTAATATTTTACAAGCCAAACATACATTGCTTCAATGTACAATTGCTACTGCCGGTAATAGGATGCATTAAAATTGATAAGGAAATACAGTAATTCTTTCTTTAATACATTTTAAATATCTGCAGAAATTAGCTAGGGATAGATTGATTTTATTTATACGGTGGGCTGCAAAATAATTATAGTTAAACACACACAGTTATTGTAAACAGTCCACAGTTTTACTCTACACCATCTATAATTTTCTTCCTGGGGAAGATGATTCTGCTCATATTACGTATTAGAAGAGATCACATGAAATACAGTTAGTTGTTAATTCAACAGTGAATATTTTCTCCCTTTAAATTGCTATAAGAGTCATCATATTTGAAAATGCTAAACTGAATCCTTCACCGACCCTCTTCATATTACCTGGTAGGGGTGGGGAGGGCAGCAGTAAAGTTTAAGGGTTGTTCCGCAGCCAACTCAAGACATCGTAAAGTCCGTCGCCAACCCATAACCGCCCTTACCTCTTCAGCGTTTCGAAATTCCGATTCTTTTCGCGGTCATAAATAGTCTGAGGCTTGGCCGGGATCCAATTTCCCAAAGCCTCGTTTTTTATCCTACATTACCCCTATAGCCGTGGTGCCAAGCAGTGGCATGCCGTGTCTTTGTACAGTTAAAGGGCTTGCTGATAAACATTGTAGGGCTAGGCGGAAACGTATGTCGGATTATTGTTTCTGTTTATGAATTACTATTTTTCCCGTTTTAAAATGTATCTTGAAGCGTTTGTTCCCTGATACAAATGTATCCCGTTTACATATTATTTCAGTTAGGCCTAGAGATTGTGTCATTTATCACATAGCTGGATTGTTGGGACTTAATTATGGGTCATATAAGACTGAAGCCTCGTTCTATGTAATAGAATATATTATGCATATGTAAAACAAAATTATATACTATATAGAATCGACATGAATAACATCTTATATTTTCACAAAAAGGTGATGAGCTTGATATACACGAAAGATAGTAGGTAGATGATTGTAGTTTAACTCTCGTATTTCAATAAAGCAAAATCGTGTAAAATGCAACCAAACTAAAATTAATTTAAATTGATTCGCTTGCTAAACCGAATCAGGTAAGGTTAAATCACATTAGAATTAGTGAAACCTGGTACTTTAAAAAGTATATTCTCAAAACACTAGTATCTTGAAATTTTGCAAAGGATCAAATCCTGTAAGTATAAGTGATATCAAAATTAATAACAAATTAATAATCCCGTTTTCAATAAAAATAAATGTTTAGTTGTGTCACAGTAAATTGGCAATTTTATATTATAATACATGCACAGGTAATATAATTATGTTAATTTTAATAATCTGTGTAAATGCGTTTTTAATCTTCCTACTTAAAGACTCGCAATTGCAGGTTCCAATTTATTCGCTGGGGAAGTTTGAGGTCGTTATGCCTCGGAGAGATCGTTCGGAGCTCTCCAAGTAGAATCTGTTATTTATTCCGGTCTCGAGATAAGGCGTTGTTAAGTTTTTATGGGCAGTTCTGTCCCCAGAACAGTTTCGCCCCTTGGTATTTGTTGCCTTTTAGTAGGAGTATTCCGAATATAAAGTTAGGGAGTGTGACTTGTTCAGTTTTATTTTGGACATTTTGGCCCTGTCTCCAGATTTCTTTGACGTTTTAGCTTTGAATTGCGTGTTCCCATTAAGTAAAGAGGATTATTTATCTTCGAAAAGTATACCAATGCTTTATGTCACGACTACATATCGATTGCAGTACTGAGTTTTAAAATAATTTCAAATATATTACTGTTTGCGTATTCAAATGTATTTCAATCCAAAAATATCGAAATAAATTCTGGTTTAAAATATCAACTTTGCTAACCTAAATTTATTATTGTAAACAATTTTTATAGTTCTTTATTTGTATTTATTATTATATCTTGTAATTGTTATGCATGTAAAACCTTATTAGCAAGAATCTTATAGGGATTATCAATTGAGACTCCTTATCAAGGGCCACTTGTTATCGATGATCCATTGTTAGCACTCTTCCTCATTCAGAACAGAATATAATTATTATTTATTACAGTATTCATGTGTGTTGCCTCTGAAACTGGAACTAACCGTGAGACCTGGAAGTACATTTTATTACTGTACAGTATAAGGATAAATATATACTTGCACTGCAATAACAGTTTCGAAAGTAATCAGCGAATTGTCATTAGAGTACAGTAGAACACTTTTGTAACTACTTTTGGACCTGCAATCGAAAATATATTATCTCTTGTAGTATTGGCATTACAATATGCAAACTACTCTACTATGTGCACTATGAATACTACGTTATTTAATTCTTTATTGGTATCTACGATGCAATTTATAAATTTTTTGGGTTCTGTTAATAATCTCAATCCTCAATCTCTGTTGACCAATAACTAACAAATCGAGTTTTCTGTGATTTTAATTTATCAGTTTGCATCGTTAATAAAAGTTGTAAATTTGTAAGTTTTTAGTTTAAATATTATTTATCGTGCCATTACTGAAATGTGACATTTCTTTTAGAAACTTGAGACACTATTATTAGCCGGTTTTTGTAAACTGTTTACCAACAACGAATATTGCGGGTTTGATTGTGACTTTTGACTTTATCAATTTGATTCATATTTATTAGTCGTAAATTTGTACATATTTAGTTTGTTATTATTTCTTGTGCATATACTTACTAAATTTGAGGTTTGGACATTACGTTTAGCCCGTTTTTTAAACTTTTCCTCATAGTGAACAAACGTTGAAAAGTAATATATATGTTTGAGTAGAAAATGTTTTCTAGAAAAGTTCAAAGATTTATAAAATTCATGAAATGTTTATTTTTATGATAATTTTCCATGAACAACTCTTACTGTACCTCATTTTATCTCAAAATGTTATTGCCTTTACAAAAATATTATGTACTTTTACACATTTCATAAGAAGATATTTATTTGGGTCTTGTTTTAATTTTATAGCGCAAAATCGAGATACGCCATTTTTTTTGTTTTTAGGTAAATAACTTTCTAAAACAAAATGGTAATTTGAATCTTTTTACATTTATATTTAGGGAAATTCGTTCCAAACATTTTGTATATCTTGAATTTCACATAGGGAATTTTTTGGATCATGCAAAAGCTTAACTTTAATTTTATTACCAAAAAAAATAATTTTTTATTTCAAATGTCAGTACAAAACTGTTCTGAATATTTATTAGGTTGCAAATTTTAAATTCTTCATGTCATTACGAACAGTTCAAGTATACGGTTCAATTGTTTTGCTCTGTTGGTTTAGTTCTTATGAATTTTCGAAAATATGTCTGCAAAATCGCCAAAAAAGCCTTGCCTCTACAGAGTTTGCCCATTTGTTGTACAAAGTTGCATAAAATGTTATGTGTAGCTTAATTTCGTCCCCCGTTTCGGACGCTGTTTTCCAACAGATTTTGTTGAAACTTTGTAACAATGTAGTTGAATAGTTATACTACGGCCCTTATACCTCGAAAAATTGAAAATTAAACAAAAAAATAGTTTTATTGAACTTTAAAAGTAACTAAATTTACGTTACTTTTAAGATTTGTTGTACTTATACTATTGATTTTTTGGATATATCGTGTATGAGGGACCTAGAACCAACATTAATCTGTAAGGAAAAAAAGTTTTAGCAATATGTCTTTACGAATTCCATCAGGAGCGAAGGACGCCCGAGGCATGTTTTCAATGTTTTTCTCAGGGGTGAAGAAGACTCTTAACGCTAACCTTAAAACAATAAATAAAGGGTCCGAGGATCAAAAGTTCATATTGTTACTTGTTTTATATAATACTC